GTCTTCTCTTTTTTTTTTTGAACAGAGATTCGCCCCTTGTTGCCCAGGCTGGAGTGCAATGGTGCGATCTCGGCTCGCGTGCAACCTCCCGCCTCCCAGGTTCAAGCGATCTCCTGCCTCAGCCTCCCAAGTAGCTGGATTACAGGCACCCGCCACCATGCCTGGCTAATTTTTGTATTTTTAGTAGAGACGGGGTTTCACCATGTTGGCCAGGCCTGGTCTCAAACTCCTGACCTCAGGTGATCTATCTGCGTTGGCCTCCCAAAGTGCTAGCATTACAGGCATGAGCCCACGCCAGCCAAAAATCTAAAAGTTTTTAATATTTAAAAAAGTATTTTCAGACCAGGCGCAATGGCTCACATCTGTAATGCACACTTTGGGGCTGAGGCAGGCAGATCACTTCAGGTAAGGGATTCGAGACAGTTCGAGACCAGCCTGGTTCAACCATGGCCGAAACCCCCATCTCTACTAAAAATATAAAAATTAGCCAGGTGTGGTGGGGCAACACCTGTAATCCAGCTACTCGAGGGGCAGGAAGCATTTGAACTCAGGAAGCAGAGGTGGCAGCAGCCGAGATCACGCCACTGCATTCCCAGCCTGGGCAACAGAGTGAACTCCGTCTCAAAAATAAAAAAAATATACGGCGGGCACGGTGGCTCAAGCCTGTAATCCCAGCACTTTGGGAGGCCGAGACGGGCGGATCACGAGGTCAGGAGATCGAGACCATCCTGGCTAACACGGTGAAACCCATCTCTACTAAAAAAAAAATACAAAAACTAGCCGGCATGGTGGCGAGCGCCTGTAGTCCCAGCTACTTGGGAAGCTGAGGGCAGGAGACTGGCGTGAACCCGGGGCAGAGCTTGCAGTGAGCTGAGATCTGGCCACTGCACTCCAGCCTGGGCGACAGAGCGAGACTCCGTCTCAAAAAAAAAAAAAAAAAATATACATTTTTAGGCCAAGGTGGGAGGATCACTTGACCTCAGGCGTCTGAGACTAGCCTGAGCAACAAGGTAAAGCCCCATCTCTACAGAAAAACACACAAAAAATTGCAGGGCCTGGTGGTGTGCACCTGTATTCACAGCTACTCAGGAGACTGAGGTGGGAAGATCACTTGATACCATAAGGTTGAGGCAGGCCAGGCGCGGTGGCTCACACCTGTAATCCCAGCACTTTGGGAGGCCGAGGCAGGTGGATCGCGGGGTCAGGAGATGGAGACCATCCTGGCTAGCACGGTGAAACCCCATCTCTACTAAAAAATATGAAAAATTAGCTGGGCGTGGTGGCAGGTGCCTACAGTCCCAGTACAGTGGTGAAATCTTGGCTTACTGCAACCTCTGCCTCCCAGGTTCAAGCAATTCTCCTGCCTCAGCCTCCCAAGTAGCTGGGATTATAGGTGCGCACCACCAAGTCAGGCTAATTTTTGTATCTTTAGTAGAGACGGGGTTTCACCATGTTGGCCAGACTGGTCTGAAACTCCTAACCTCAGGTGATCTGCCCACCTCAACCTCCCGAAGTGATGGGATTACAGGTGTGAGCCACCACGCCTGGCCATATATGTATATTTTTTAGGCCAGGCATGGTGGCTCAGGCCTGTAATCCCAGCACTTTGGGAGGCTACAGCAGAATCGCTTGAACCCAGGAGTTCAAGACCACCTGGGCAAGATACAGAGGCCCTATTTCTATCTAAAAAAAAAAAAAAAAGCAAAATGAAAGAAATTTTTATATTTTAATTAAAAATTTTTAATAAAATTATTATTTAAAAGATGTAGAGTGTTTTGAAAAGTTTATTGTTCCTATTCAGAAAGGCATTATGAAGAGTTTTAACTTTTTCTTTCTACATTAACAAAATAGTTAATAAAATGGGTTCCTGCCCCTTCTAGTCATCACCAGAATCACCCACAAAACCATGCTAATTCACATAAAGAGGAAACCTTGTAAACAGAGAAATCAGAACCAAAAAAACCAGAAACTCCCATAAGCCAGTAAAATTACCCAATTTACTTTGTTCGCTTACTATGACAACTGCTGTTGAGATTTAATTATTTGCTACAACTTCATAGCATCCTAATATATGTGTCATCACTCTCTCTGCAGGTCTCTTCAATTACATCTCTATAAAGAGGCAGGGGTGAGACTACCTGGGTTTCTGTGAGAATTAAAGGGTTTGCAGATTAGTAGCTTCCAAATTAGCAGGCTTAAAGGCATGATACACGATTCTATTTTATCCTAGTCCCCAATGAAAGCAATTCACAAGAAAGGAAACAGGAATACAGTTCCTTTTCCCTAGGAGTCTGGCGCCTCCCTAGGGAGAGCAGGACTCATGGAGACTCCGTGCTGACAGTACTTGGAGATCCTTAATCCAAATGCTACTGCTCAAATTCTCAGTGGAGGCTACTGATCAGAGGGCACCACAGAGCAAACTGGTAGGTAGCTCCTCCACTCACTCATCCTCTGGCAAAAGATAGGATGGGGTTTTGGAAAGAAGAAACCACACCACCCACTTGTACTAATCCAGACCTCCTTCAGTATGAATCACCTGTGCCTGGCACAGTATATACCTGATGGGAGCTCAGTAAATGCTTGTTGAATAAATGAGTGAATAAAAGTGTGGCACACAGAAGGTATTCGATAAATATTAGTTGAATAAATGAAGAGAATGGCCAGGCACAGTGGCTCACACCTGTAATCCTAACATTTTGGCATTTTGGGAGGCCAAAGTGTGAGGATTGCCTGAGGCCACGAGTTCAAGACCAACCTGGGCAATACACAGAGACCCTGTCTCTACAAAAAATAAGTAAATAGGCCAGGGGTAGTGGCTCACACTTGTAATCCCAGCACTTTGGGAGGCCAAGGAAGGCAGATCACTTGAGGCCAGGAGTTCAAGACCAGCCTGGCCAACATAGTGAAAGCCCATCTCTACAAAAAATACAAAAATTAGCCGGGCATGGTGGCACGCACCTGTAATCCCAGCTACTCAGGAGGATGAGACACAGGAATCATTTGAACCTGGGAGGCAGAGGTTGCAGTGAACCAAGATCATGCCACTACACTACAGCCTGGGTCATAGAGCGAGACTCTGTCTCAAAAAAAAAAAAAAAAGGTAAAAAAATTGAAAGAGAATCTCTTTCAATTTCAAATAAATTGAAAATTGAAGAGAATCACCAAGACACTGTCCTAGGTACTGGGGAAGAGGTGATGTATATGAGAGGTTCAGAGCTACCCACTATGAGTAAAGCAGTCTAATGAGCTAAACCAGGGCTCTGGGGTCAGATCCAGCATCCAAATCCCAATGGCATTGGCCACATTATAGGAAGCCTTAGCCAAGTCACTGGGATCCACTTCTGGAAAAAAGGAATAACACCTACTTACCTTGCATGGTTATTGTATGAATCAGAAAAAGATGTAGATAAAGCGCCTCGAAGGAGGCCTGGCATATGGAAGACATGGCAAAGAAAAACGATAAAACTCTCTAGTAAGTGCAAACATTTATTGAGGGTTACCACACACACTTCACTGTGTCACACATCCTAAACACACGACCACATAAAATCTTCACTCGAGGCTGTGCTCAGTGGATCACACCTGTAATTCCGACACTTTGGGAGGCTGAGGCAGGGGGGTCGCTTGAGTTCAGGAGTTCCATACCAGCCTGGACAACATAGGAAGACCCCGTCTCTACAAAAAAATGAAAAATTTAGCCGGAAGTGGTGGCGTGCGCCTGCAGTCCCAGCTACTGGGGAGGCTGAGGTGGGAGGATAGTTTGAGCGCGTGAGGTCAAGGCTGAACTGAGCAGTGATTCGCGCCTCAGCACTCAAGCCTGGGTGACAGAGCGAGACCCTGTCTCAAATAAAATAAAATAGAAAATTAAAAAATAAAATCTTTAGGCCAGTCTTGTAAGTATGACGATCTCCCTTCTACAGGTGAGAAAACTAACCTGTAGGGAGTAATGACAGGGTAGGGGCTGCGGGATTCGAACTCGGGCAACACGTGCAGTGTCGCTCCTATCCACTACACGGTATTTTCCACTCTAATGGCATTAAGACCCACTTAATCCCGTAGACACTGCAACAGGCACTTTGCAAACAGTGTTTCAACTAATTCACCCCTACAGGGTTAAAAGTCCACGCAGCTGAAGCTCTAAGGAGTCTCGCGACTTGCCTGAAGTCGCCAAAAGCGGCTAAGGGCCTCGGGGAGCCGTCACTCCCTCGCTCCGCACCCTGATCATGGGAAGCCTCCCCTCAGCACTCACGGTGCGCAGTCTCTGCCTCAGTGTCCCAAGGCGGACCCCACTTCCCTACCCGAGTGGAAAGCCCCGAAACTCCGTCCGTGCCCGCCCCGATTGCCCCCGATGGTCTTCTTCCCTCTCCCGCCCGGTCTAAGAGGTCGGGTCAGCCCGCCCACCTCCTCAGTTCGGGGCCGAGGGTCTCCCCGTAGCCCCCGGGACGGAAGCAGCCGCGTGGGGGAGGGGAAGAGGGGAGGACGCATGCCCAGACGGCTCCACTCGGCCTCCAGCTCACCTGGGAGTCACGAAACTCTACAACCACGTTCTCGCTGCTCCATCGCGCCGCCATCTCTCCCGCCCGGCCACCGCGGCCCCAGGACGGCGCCCTCCCACCCCGCCGTTCCCAGTATCCCGGGACCGTGCGCCCCACACAGCCGGAGAATCAGCCCCAACACGCCCCGTACCCCGGTTGCTCCTGAACGCAAGCCATTGGTTGACCCAAGCACAGGCTCCGCCCCTTCTTCCTGGCTCCTCCAATTGCTGCACCTCGCCTGCCACAAACAGGCACGCCCCCGCTCACTTCCGTCACTCGGTTTGAGTCACCAAAGCTCCTCGCGGTTGCGGGCACTCCCCCTACCGCGAGCTCTGCCGGGAGTTGTAGTCCAAGCTCGAGCAAGCGTGGGTGACCCGGGAAGGGCTCGCAGGTTTGGGTTTGGGTGAGGTGAGGTTCCTGTTGTCCTCACTAGCTCCTCGCTGGAGTCCCCAGCATTCGTTCAGCCCCAGTCTACAAATCAAAATCAACGTTCGGGGCGACGCCTGTAATCCCAGCACTTTGGGAGGCCTAGGTCAGGAGTTCAAGACCAGCCTAACCAATATGGTGAAACCACGTCCCTACTAAAAATACAAAAATTATAGCCGGGCGCGGTGGCAAGCACCTGTAATCCCAGCTACTCGGGAGGCTGAGGCAGGAGAATCACTTGAACTCGGAGGGCGGAAGTTGCAGTGAGCCGAGATCACGCCACTGCACTCCAGCCTGGGCAACAGAGTGAGACTCGTCTCAAAAAAAAAAAAAACGAATTAGCCGGGTGCGGTGGCGGGCGCCTGTAATCCCAGCTACTCGGGAGGCTGGGACAGGAGAATAGCTTGAACCAGGGAGGCGGAGATTGCAGTGAGCCGAGATCACGCCATTGTACTCCAGCCTGGGTGACAACAGCGAGACTCCGTCTGGGGGGAAAAAAAAAAAAAATCAACGTTCGTGCAAACAGAACATACCTCTTTTCCTTATGCCTATCCCAATTCCGATGGAGATATTTAAAAGTCTGAATGTGCAATTTATTGTTTGATACAATACAGCAGCGCCTCCCGTAACAACGAAGGTAGATTTAATTGTGAGAATCCAGCTGTTTTCTTGATCCAATGCTCTACCTCTGAGCTATACCCCCTCCAGCAATCCAGCTCTATTTTATTTTATTTTTTTTTTCTTTTCTTTTTTTTTGAGACGTAGTCTCGCTTAGTCGCCCAGGCTGGAGTGCAGTGACGCGATCTCGGCTCACTGCAAGCTCCGCCTCCCGGGTTCACGCCATTCTCCTGGCTCAGCCTCCAGAGTAGCTGGGACTACAAGCGGCCGCCACTACGCCTGGCTAATTTGTTTGTATTTTTAGTAGAAACGGGGTTTCACCGTGTGAGCCAGGATGGTCTGGATCTCCTGACCTCGTGATCCACCCGTCTCGGCCTCCCAAAGTGCTGGGATTACAGGCGTGAGCCACCGCGCCCGGCCACTGTTTTCTAATAAGCCTAACATTAAAACAGATTTGCCAGAATTTTTTGTTTTGTTTTGGAAAATATGGTTCTTTTTCATTTTAAAAGGTATTTATGTGAATTAATGTTTAAATGAAATAATGAATAAATATATTTTTTAAATTCTGTATACTACATATAAAAGTTTTTGGGCGCCGGACGCAGTGGCTCATGCCTGTAATCCCAGCACTTTGGGAGGCTGAGGTGGACGGATGGCTTGAGCACAGGAGGATGCAGTAAGCTAGGATCACATTACTGTACTCCAGCCTGGGCGACAGAGCAAGACCTTGTCAAAAAAAAAGTTTTTTGGGGTTTTCAGTAATTTTTAACAGCAGAGTAAAGGGATTCCGAGATCAAAAAGTTTGAGAACCACTGTACTAACATGGTGGATGATGATGAAGTTTCTTCTTCAGCCCCACGCTCTTAAATGTTGATTTAACTGGTTTAGTCTCAGTTTCCCTATAGAAGGGAAAAATGGTATACCTCTTTCAGCTGTTACAGGGAACTAAGCACGGGGCCTGGGATGTAGAAAATGCTCAACTGTGAACTATTAATTCAGTTCTAGAAGCCAGGAAATCAATAAAAATAAAATAAAACTGTTGCTGTTGTTAATATTATCACTATTTGTATGTGCAAGTCACTGTATGAATAGAGATAAGAAAGTGTGGTCTCTTCCCACCTGGAGTATTGGGTGTAAGGGGGAAGACAGACTTGAATTAGGGTGACTAACTTGTTGCCTGGACCTTTTCCATGTTTTATTTTTATTTTTTTGGAGACAGGGTCTCATTCTGTCACCGAGGCTGGAGTGCAGTGGTGCGAGTATAGCTCACCACAGCCTCCAACTCCTGGGCCCAAGCAATCCTCCTGCCTCAGCCTCCCAAGTAACTGGGACTACAGGCATGTGTTACTATGCCCAGCTATGTTTTGTTTGTTTGTTTGTTTTTACTTTTTGTGGAGATGGTCTTGCTGTGTTTCCCAGGGTGGTTTCAAACTAGTGACTTCAAGCAAATGACCCTCCAGCCTCAGCCTCTGGAGTAGCTGGGACTATAGGCGTGAGCCACCATGCCTGATCCCTTTTCATATTTTAGCACTGCATCACCAAAACGCCTTGCATCCCAGGAAACCTGTAATTTCCAGGCAAACTGGGACAATTGGTTATTCCACAATAGGAATGTGCTTGGCAGAATGACTTGTATATTATAATAGACTTGCAGGCAATATGGCAGGAGA